AAATTGTTGGACGGCGAAACATCGCGCGGTGACGAGAGATGAAGGGTCACGGTCCTGGAGAAAGTCAAAAGGTGGTTTTTGACAGCAAGGGAAGGTGGAAAGTCGTCGGAAAAGGGGAGGTCATCATCAATTTGCATTTGGCTAGAGGGTGTGTTTGCTGAATTTCAAACTTTTAGGGACTGATGCGTATTAATCAGGGATGTGTTTGATAGATTTTAAATTTAGAACAGTTGGAAAGAGTAACCCACCCGGAGAAGGCTCTAGGCCCCGGTCCAACCTGTTCACCGGCCGGGCCGGGTTTTAAAACCATGGTTTCAGTAGAATTATTCGCGTGATCCGTCTTTATATGTATTATGTAACGCGTCTCCGACTGGATCCAATGAATGGCTTCCGCAGCATCTTCATGAGGCCCCACTGCCACGCGCTTTGTCAGTAATAATGCATCTCACCGAATCATTTCTCGACACGACTGCAAATTTAATTATGAGAAGCTTTCATAATCTCGCCAAGTATTCTGCTGACGTCATCGTCACCTCCCTGTTAGCTGTAGCCTCTTCGATTATAAGAGATTAGATCCGCCGACATTTCACTCTCCATCTTCACTTGACTTGACTTCACTTTATTGAAACCCTGTCTTCGGTATTATCAACTTGGGGGTTTTTGTTTTCCGTTGTTTGAATCAAAACCCATTTGGATTCAGTGAAATTCAATACCAAAGATGTAATGTAGGGTTCTTGAAGGGAAGTTTGTGTTCATGGTTGGGGAAAAAATGGATGAAATGTGGTTCAAATTAAGGGCAAAGAGGGTTCCAAGAGGGGTCTGGTTAAAAATGCAAAAATCAATGGGAGTCCTCGTGGGTGGGAATCACACAGCCTCCAGGTTTTGTACTCGCTAAGTTTATTTCTCAATCTCAATTGGCTTTTCACTCTCTCTTGAATATTATTCATATTGCTCTGTTTTACTCGTACTTGATCAAGATCTGTTATTGCTTCTGTTTGTTGAGTTAAAAATTGAAACTTGATGGATTTGAAATCCTTGAAACTCAAGATCCGTACTGGGTCTATTGCGAGGCGTGTGCTTTTGCGCGCCGTTTTGTTCGCCACGGCTCTGTCAGTCGTTCCTTTGCTGCAAATCTTATCTGGGTTCGATCCCGTTATGTTCAATGCGGTGAGCTTTAATGATTGTTCTTTGACTTCTGATTATTCGAAGCCGCATTTGTTCTTGGGTCGATTTATGTATCCCATCCTAGGTTCCCTTGGGTCAATGCAGTGCAAGGAAAATGCAAATCTGACTACTATTGTGGCTAGAGAGTTGGTGGGTATGCATATGTTGACTGATGATGCAAAAACTCTCTGTGTTGGTGAAGGTTCGTCCTCATCAGTGCATGCATTGCGAGAAATGGGGTTTAGCAATGCTTATGGGGTTTACAGACACACATTTTTCTCGCTTAAGCATAAAAAGCTCGTTTATGAGCTTGATTATGAGGACAATTCCTTTGATTTTGTTTACTCCAGGGATCTAGATAAGGTTTCTGTCCCTGCTCTTTTAGTGCTTGAGATCGAGCGTGTTCTTAGGCCAGGTGGAATTGGAGCGATGCTTGTGGGTGTTAGTAGTTCGAGCCCAAATGGTTTGATTAGGTCTGCAACACCGATTTCCTCAATTCTGAAAACTTCCACTATTGTCCATGTTGGTTATGTGAATCAGTTTACTCTGGTTGTTTTCAAGAAAGAAATTGAAAATTGCTCTTACTTTGAGCAGTATCGCCTTCCATCTGATTGCCCATCACTTATGAACAACAAACCATTTATGGAGTTCATTGAGCCTCTTGTGGAGGAAAAACCAATGGGGTTTGGGAAAAGGATTGTTTATTTGCCCAAGTTTATGGATGTTACCTCTAGGAAGCGGTTAGTGTATATTGATATTGGGGCAGGGGAGCACCTGAACTCCCGTGTTACAAATTGGTTCTTGCCATCATATCCTGTGGATCGCAAGGCTTTCAATGTTTATTTTGTTGACCATAATACTTCTGTTCTACTGTCCTATGTCAAGAGGCCTGGTGTCACCTTTGTTTATCATCCGGGCCTGGCTGGAAGTAAGGCTACTGCCAATGCTAATGTCTTGGAAGATGTGGACCCATCTGTGGCGGATGAAGGGTTTGACTTTCTCCTCTGGTTTCAAGAAACAGTGCGATATGCAGACTTTGTGGTCCTGAAGATAAATGCAGGAGAGGTAGAACTGAAATTTCTCTCAGAGTTGTTCAAAACTGGAACCATATGCTTTGTTGATGAGATCTTTCTTCGCTGCTCTGGTCATGTAGATGGCAAAGGGGCAGCGAATGCAGACTGCATGGATATCTTCAAGGGTCTAAGACGCAGTGGTGTGTATGTGCATCAATGGTGGGAGGACTAGAACACATTGATGCACTTTAGTCACTTATGTTTGATGTTGTCTGGTTAGAACTTTGTTTGTTGTTATTGCTACTATGTGTTGTCGTTAAGTCCTCATCGAGGCACTATGTTGCTTTGTGGTTGGGCACTTATACTAAATAAGCAACCACTTGTTTCCATGTTGTTGAACAAAATGTTGTGTGCTTAATTCTGTTTTGTCATGATTTATTTCACTGAACCAGAAAAAGGTTAAGTTATTGCCTACAAGCCACGCTAAGATTAACACCAATCCTATTAGAAGATAGTGCTGTTAGCACCCATGAGAGATGGGTTGTGTTTTTTTTATTGAGATTGATGCTTTTTTGTTGTCCTTAATGAATGCAAATATAGTTTGGCAACGTTAAAATGGGACATCCTAGTGATGGCAGAGGCCAGTGAGAAGTATAACCCTGTGTAGTTGAAAATAGGGTCTGTTTGTTTTAGTATTTTGGATAGTATTTTTGTAAAAGTAAGAATTTGGTGGGAATAACGAGGTAGGATTTAAAAATTAACAAAAACACATCCCTAGGTTTGTTAATTTATTAAACACCCTTATAATAAAAACATTGAAAATTACAAAAATACTCCCACCCACCCACCCATTAAATACCGGCAATCGGTCACCACTGCTGGAGGGTGGCCGAAGTCGTCGTATCAGCACATGACCGGTTGGATTTAGTCGGTCATGCACTGAGATGACCTTTTTAAGCCAGATTCACCCTAGACCTAGTCGGAAAAGGTCAGATCTACCGTTAGATATGGCCGTTGATAGTCAGATCTGGTTGTTGACGGCCAGATCTGGCCATATTTGGTCGTCAACGATGGCCATATCTTGGTCGTCGTTGATGACCAAGCTACGGCCAAAGATCTGGCCGACAATGGCCAGATCCACAGTGGACCTGGTCGGAAAATGATAGATCGGCGCACTACCAGCTAGATCCAATCGGTAGTGTGCCATTATACTAGATTCTGGCCACTTGTTGGCGGTGGTGGCCAAAATCTGGAAAATGTGGGTGGGGGTGTTTTTGTCAATTTTTTAACTTTTTTTGGGGGTGTTTAGTTAAATTAATAAACTTAGGGGGTTTAAAAAAATTGAATAAAATAAAATAAAATAATATTTTTAGAATAGGGAAACAAATGTGTATTTTAAGTAGGATAGGGATATGATAGTGCAAAAATTATTAAACAAATGGACCCTTAGCTGCTTCGGGTTGTTGTTGGGTGCACATTGTAGAGTATAGAGCTAATGTCATTAGCCACCATAAGTTCCTTGACTCAATGTTTTAAAACCCGGCTTCGCTTGGTCAGTTGAACTGGGACCTAGGGCTTTCACTGGGTTGGGATAACATTTTTCTTATTCACCGAAAACTCTAGAAATTGGGATAGTGATCGACGAACAATTGGAGGTCGAGATGTTGGGGTTTTTAAAGAGGAAGGGCTAGTGAGTGCAATGATGGCGATGTAGGTGATTTTCAGTGAGTGAATTGACTGGAAATCGAAAAAAACTTGCGGCGACAACAGTTGGCTTTTGTCAGCAATTGGTGAGGCGAACAAGGTGAGGCGAGATAGGTTTTGGTCAAGAGGCTGAGGAGAGTATTTTTGTGGTGATGGGAAGGGTTGTTGACATCGGTAGTGGTGAGATCTGACATGGGTTGTTGATGCGGACGGTGATGAGATTTGACATGGGTTGTCGATGTCGACGGTGGTGAGATCTGGTCGATTTTGAAAAAATCTTAGGTAGATTTCAAGGGAATGGCTCAAGAATGATTGAGATTGCATTTGGTGTGTTCGTTGCCACCAACCAGTTGACAACCGATTTGTATTTTGTGTGTGTTTGCTAAATTTCAAATTTGTAAGAACTTTATTGTAATTTTTAGGAGTGTATTTTAAACTTTTGGTTGCCTGATTTGACTGGCCGGTCAACCGAGACCTAGCAACTTTGTTGGGTTTCACTTAGGGTTGGTTATTAAAACATTGCCCTAACTTGCATTGTACTTTATTTTGCAGTCTTATCACCTTGAAGAATTACTTGACTTGAGAGTACTGTGGATAGATTGGGTGGATGAGGAAAGAATTCAAGAGCTATACAAGGAACAAAAAGCACTACTTGAAGAGTTACATCTAAGAAAAAAAAAAAGTACCGCTTAAAGAGTTAATGTACAAGTAGAACTATGTTTGGAACTTTTGACTACTTGTAGCTTGTGGGGAAAAGAAATATACCAAAGAACAAGCAAACAGATACTGGACGTCTGGACCTCATTTTTCGACACATCCTATGGCAGAAGGTTTTGTGTAGAAATTAGAAAATTGAAATCCTACGTCAGCTTGATTGTATGTCGAAAATACTTCCTGGAGAATTGCATGCTCGCCTATTAAACCATACAAGAAAATCATTGAATGATTACAGCCTACACCAGAGTATCTTTGATTAATTCTCTGATTAAAAACATGGTACTCCTCTTTGGTTGAATCCTGTGTACTTTTTGGCCACCGATTACACTCGGGAGGTATCAAGGGACCAATTAAATCAATCATTCTCAAGCATATAATATAAATAATTATACAGAGGGAATCAACAAAACCAGCATTAAAATGTTTGGAAATTTCCTGAAGCAAACCCAGCAAACTTACATTATATTTCATATGATAAAAATTATGAGGAATTGCCTCAAAGCACTCACACTTGCAAAGCATAAGGCACTGTCTTGCATATAATTCTGGCGCAATGCCAGCAATTCATTCTTGCCATACCTCATTGCCTTTATTAAAAAGGCAGGAAATTTCCTAAGTGGAAAAAAAAATGAAATTAAAGAGGGGGAAACTATAGAAAGACAGCAACTACTATACATAAAACTAGTGCCAGCAACATATGCGGTTTTCATTCCTCAGGCCCATTGACCTTAATCTCCAAAAGCCTTTCAACTGGTTGTCTGCAAATTGGACACCGATTTGTTTGGAACCTCAGAACCTTTGCACATCCACTGCACATACACTGCACCACAAGAAAAGCCACAAAAGCAACTGTGTTATCGACAAAGCTATTCCAGAAATTTAGTGACCCTATTTACTTCCACTTTTAGTTTTTTAAACCTTCAATAAGCAAGTTGACTTCTTACTCAAAACAGTTTGCTAATATACAGTAACTCATGAGACGGGAGAGAGGATGTACCAAATTAAGACAAATTTATCATGCAATAACTTTTCATACAATTACAGGAGTAATCAAATAATACTTGGTGAAATATTTTAAACAGTTCAAGTTGAAATCAACAATTTGACTTGCATGCAACCATATCTTCTAGAAGGAAGAGTTATCTACTTTTCATGTAAATCAAAGAGAGGAACAAATTTTCTGTGTTCTAAATATCAGCATGATCAAGGCAAACCTAACCTCAAGAAAATGGAGAACTGTTATAGGCAGAGATTGGAAACCATCATAGGAAAACAAGTCCTAAGACTCCTAACCGGGCAAATATCATAATTATAAAATGACATAAAAAAAAAATGTACCATATGTCGGCAGGGAAGCACAGTTGTGTCACGTGGTTCTGATAGGCAGATGACACATTCTTTTCCGGGGTCATTTGCATCGACATCACCTTCAACAGAATTCCCAATCCCATATATCTCTTGCAGCTCATACCTCATACCATTCACCCACAAAATCTGCTTCACCACTCTGACCTGGTATTCACCTTTCTCTTTCTCAAATACTGCCTGAGTTATCTGAGAATTCGTGGGTCCAGGAATAGAGTTTCCATCAGATCCATTCTGGTTAGCAGGGGCTGCCTCTGCCTTCACAGCAAGAGGATAGACATCCATGTTACCCTCTTTCAGTAACTCTGCCTCCTCAAACATTGAAAAGTCAATCCCCGTTCCAGAAGGCTGTCTGAACTTCTGACCCAGACCTTGTTGAAAATTTACTGTCACTGGTGCAAAAATGTTTTCCTTTGTTGGCGTCAGGTTACAGTCTTCACCTTCTTTAGCAAAGAAAACGACAGTGATACTGTTTCCAAGGGAAATAAAATTCTTGTTAAGACCACAATCACACAAGAAGTTAAAATTCAGACAATATGTCATATAATCTCAACATAAAAAAATTACTTCTACTACAAACAACATGCTTGTTACAAGAACTGAAATTTATGAACAAAGAAAGTGATGTGCTCTAGAACATGAGCATAAACTTTTAAAGATTTATCTAACCTTGGAAAAAGAAAATATATAAATCATAACTATACTAATTGGTAAATCTATATGACAGTAAGGCACCATTGAATCAATGATGTTCAATGGCGACAGAAAACAAAGTATTTTTTTTTTATAACCATGAGAAATATTATTCAGAAGATGGTGACAGAAAAAAAAAA